TCTTCCGACCAGTCACTCATGAGTGATTTCTCATTCTTAAACAAAATTTCCAGGGATTCAGGTCTGAACGAGAGCGAAAAATTACCTGCAAATTTTTTTGGAAGCAAATCAAATCACCACAAATGACAACCATTGGGATGAGCATTCCACTGAATGCGAAGAGAAACTTGAATATCCAGGGTTATGTGCTAACCTTAGTAAGAGAGATACAATGCATTGGAATTTGGAAGTAATTATATACGTCAAGAAAAATAAAAAACGATTGACTACGATGCAAGAGTAACTGTGTCAAGGACCATCTCACCTTCATTTGAATCTTACAGCATAAGCTATACATATAGTATCAACAAGAAACCAAAATTTCCCAACAGTACCTACCGACAGCTAGCGATGTCAATGCCTTCTTCACATTTCCAGACAAGCTAATGGCATTTATTGCTGCCACTGAATCATCAATTGCACCCCCAGGTTTCAGAGTTACAGAGGCATAATCGTCTTCCTTCTGTTCAGGTCTTCGAAAACGTATCTCCATAGGAAGCCTAGTTTCATTATGGATCCTCGTCAAAGGAGAAACTGAGATTGATAAACCATCCTACAGAGATGTGGTAAAGATGAAAAAGCTAGGTCATAAGTAGCATCTCCCTGCATCACTGTTAACTGATCCAACAGAACCACAAGAATGAGCCCAAAGACATACCTCCGACCCCTTCTTGATATCAACAACGATAAATGGTCCAGGATGACTCCTTGAATCTATCAAATATATAATGTTTTCACCAGAGCTGTTATATGTGCTTATAGAGGTGGAAGACTAATGGACAGATGGACATTTGGGGTGAAGAAATGTAGAAAGTACCTTGGACTGACACTATTCTTGTTCTCCAAGCTAGCGTTCTGGCTAGCAACAAAGAAAGGTTAATAGAAGAAGTTGTGAAATTTCCAGCCGATAGTTGGATTGCAGCAACCGGAGAAGCTTCTGGAGAATTACTCACTAGATCTGAATACCTTTAAAACACATGATGCAACATTAAATATCTACAGCATAGTTTATGCCAAAAATGTAGACAACAGTCCTCAAAATTTTTTCTTCCTTAAGAGTTTGTTCTAAGGATTCTTCTTGGTTTAGTAACTTTTCTTTGCACCTCTATGGGACCTAGTAAATAAAACTGACAATAACCTAGTAAATAAAACTGACAATAACCAGGAGTGTGAATAACAAAGATACATTCACAACCAAACTAAAGAGAAAGAGAGAGTTTGTCCATAGATGTCATCAATCTTCATCATGAGGCATAAACACATGCAGCTGCCATGTGCAGATTTACGAAGATACTAAAGGCCTTTGAAGAGTTACCGAAGAAGGATTGAAGCAGTCTGTGTTCTACTGACAGCAACAGTTTGTCTCCCATTGAAACGACAAAGAAGGTCAAGACCTGAGTGGTTTTCTATCTGCAACAGAAGAACTTCTTTATTGCGCCTCTATATAACCAGGTCTTTACACGGAAAAATATGAGTTTGACACCGAATAAGTAGGGGACGAATTAACACACTAGAAAAGCATATAAAAACAAAACAATATCTTAACCTTGCAACAATTGGAAAGAATAGCAGCGCTTTTCACAGAAAACGGGCCAGCAAACTCCAGTTTACCAAGCACAAAGAGAAGTATATCCAAAGACAGCTCAGTTAGAAAGGCCTCCAACTGTATATGAGATGGAAAAAGAATTTGTGATTGGGTTGAAAGAGGCCAAATAAGTCCCGGGAAAATGAAAGGATCTTCTAACAGTACCCTTCCAGTTCTGCAGTAGATATGAATAGGTGCTTTACATGAAGCATTTATCAAATCATGAGTCTGATAAGTAGAGCGGCAGAAAGCATTAACTTCAACCGGCAGAATAAATTCTTGCCTGTTGTATCACAATTAAAAGAAGAAAGAGTAAAAATTTCTGGAGAGCAAGCCATATAAGTGAAAAAAAAGAATAAATCAGAGAAAGCTTATGTATCTTCAAAATAAGGGGAATGATCTCACCACTGGTATTTCTGTGCATCATAGTACTCGATGGAAACTTTTGACGTACTTATAATTCTGGCTTTAGAACATAACATCTGTACCACTAGCTGCGTGATATTGATCGAACCACGAAGAAGAGGGAACCTGTCCCTGGTTTCCGAGAGTTCATGAACAATAGTTAGAGCTACTTCATCAAAAGTTATGCTGATACAGGGGGAGCGAATGTCCTTTACAGAAGCCTGCATTTCATCATTATGATCTTCATGATGTACTGTAGACCTAACATCATGGGTCACCAAACTGTCGCGGAACACCTTAAACTTGAATGGATTTCCTGGCTTCCTGACAAACTCAGGAAAACCATCAATAAATGCAACAGCAGAATTGCTCTTCTTGTTGACAAGGAAAAATGAACCTTCGACTAATTTGCGGTAGGTCTCCCAGTCAATATCTCCCTTATAATTCTCAAATTCACAAAAGGATGCTCGCCAGAGTGTTGTAGCATTCTCATGAATTCCAGAGATGTTAACGGCATCTGATCCTGAATGATAGGTTAACTGTAACGGCTCTCCTTTAACATTCTTGGCATATAAAGATGTTAGGGAGAACCATAAGATAGATGATTTCCATCTTCTCTGACGGTGGTATTTGACCTGCACAGACATTCAGAATTTTGAATGGATGTTATCTTACAAAAGGAGCAACGACAGAGCAGAATAAGGAAACCAGCTACATCTTATTCTGAAAAACTGGAGTTGCAGTTGTTTTTGGAGCCTATGTCTTTTAATGTACTAGATTTTTCTGTGGTGTGACACCACTGGTCTCCATACCCTGAAAAGAGCTCTTTCTCCCACAAGTGAATAATGAAGGGTGCCAGCAAGCATATACTTGTCCTGTCCACCTTCAACTGTGAAGAACAGATGTTGATGTACATCTTGAATCGCAACAATTGCACCTACAAATATTTCAATTTTACATGTGAGGAGAAGAACCTAAAAGCTTATATACAACGAATGAGAAATCAATCAGAATACCTACTCACCATCAGGAACCACAGACTCCAAACTTCTTTTGGTTTCACTGTCGGAACTTTGCCTTCGTGAAGAAACATCAGTAGTTTCTCCTCCAGTTAATCCAGCAAAGGATGAAATCATGGAAAGGATCATCTGACGTAATAGCAGAGATGGCCAGTAAACATAACTATAGAGTAAAAAAGGAATGTGTGCATAGGATCTAACACGTCACAAGCATTTCAAAGTGATATACAAATGCACTCGAACCATACTGTTATACTGTAAGAAATCTAGAATTTTTACCTGCAATTCTGACAGAGAAATGGTTATGTCAAAACCTACAACCGAACAACTTCCAACCCAGGCATCATTAAACTGATGAAGATCATTTTCTGGCTTCTTAAGAAATACGGAGATACGCAGGTCTTTCAAGATATAACCTGAGTAAAACTCCCCAGGCACATCGCTGTACATAGGAGACTCTCTTGTAGAATCCAAATCTCCTGAAACACTTGTGCTATCATCTAAACTGATTACATCCCTTTGCTGAAATGGTTGATGTGGAGCACCAGACAGAAAAGAAGAAGTTTCACTAAACGCTGGAGAAGAAAATTGGGCAATGTGAATTTCTTTGTCAATGTTCTCAAGAATCTTAGAAAGAACTGATAAGCGAGAAATCTCGCAAAGAAATTTCTTTTCTCTGCTCTCCATTTCAAGGGCAATATGGAGATTGACCTCCAGAACAAGTTCCCTTATACCTCCTGCAAAAGGCAGACAATAATGGACTTATCCAGCAAAATCAGCCATATAAAACACAGGATAGTAGAACATACCATATTCATCCTCACCAACGAACCCAAGGACAAACTGGGTCACGTCTACAGAAAATCCCTCAATGGCTGTCATTTTTATTTGTTGAGAAAGAACATTAAGTTCACTGACACCTGAATCAGCCTCAGCTTTCCTAAGAACTGGGGCAGAAGATTGTACTGTTGATACCTTACTCGAGATGAAATCAAGGTACGAAGAAAAACCTTGAATGAAGATCATCAAAGCAACTGGTTCAAGGATGAAAAGACCACCCTGCCAGTAGCATCATGAGTTACTTCATGCACAATATAGAGTGAACGAATACATAAAGCTGGTAATGTGGTATTCACCTGAATTGCCCACGAGATTGACCGAAACTTTCGCCCAACAGAAACAGAAGTCAAAAACTTAGAGGAACGACGAGCTCCAACCAAAACATTCTTTATTGAGCACCTTGCTATAAGTAAATCAGTTAATGCCAAATCTATGTCCATCCAATAGGATGAGTAGGGAACTGATGGGTCTGAAGCAGGGTACAAATTCTGCATTTCACTGGCTTTTGATGAACTTCCTGCATAACATGCAGAAGAATCACCAGCCATAAAACAGGAATCACCTGGAGCTGACGCACCTGAGCAATCCATATACAATCTCAATACGAAGCTAGAAAGACATGCCTCGGACAAGAGATGGTGTGACTTGAACGGAAAAAATCCATTGATAGATTTACTGAAACTCTTCCATGCATCATCCTGATATCTGAAAACTATCGATTTGAGATCACATAAATCAACATTAACATGTAACCTGCTCTCTTCATAGGATACATCTACACTAGTTTCCCGGACAGAAGACCAGATTCCAAATTCGGTGAGCTCCATAAACTTCTCAATTCTGTTGTTTGCGGCAGGGATGTGAAGAATCACATTTACAGGCTTTAGCTTAACGCTGGCATTAACCGAAAAGAGAGTTTCGTGAAACATTCCATCAATCTCCTTTTCCACATGCACCACATCAGACTCTAGTAATTCTTTTCCCGGTGAATAAACCACAGAGCCAAAGTCACTCAAACCACGGGATAGTTCAGAAAACAAGTCTAGAAGCATCTGGTACAAAATAACAAAACTTACTTTAAACTCTTTTGATAACTAAGTGTTAGAAATCTTGATGCCATTTAGATATGTTGAAGAGAAAGAAACTCAATCTCAACCAAGCACAGGCCCAAATAGGTGTAGAAAAGAGGAAACTTCAAAGACTTTACCATGAGTAACTTGACATACATCATTAAGATAATGCTCCACAAATCTTTTTTCACATCATTAAGAAAAGCCTACAAGCATCTTACTAATCTCTGCCAGAACCAAGGCTAGATCCAAAGGATGCCTCCAGTCAAGGAAAATCGATCACAAATCATATAGGTTGGAAATGGCATAGAGAATGCATACAATATAACATGATTTTTAAACCAGTAATACAAGGATTATTGTCACGTGATCATGTAATCAGATGAAAAAACAAATAGTGCAAGTTGGAAAATACTATGCGAAACTTTTGGAAAATGATGCAAAAAATTATGCTTTTGAGCAGTAAGATGAACTTATTGAATGCCAATCCTCATGCAGCCAAGCATAAAAGCAACCAAAATAAAAACAGAAAATAGAGATGACACGGTACATAAGCAAAAGAGTTCACTGTTTTGTAATATGCAAATTATAGGCACCAAGACTGCCTAAAAAGCTTTTGTTACCTGAAATAAAGCATTTAAATCATCCCTTCTTGATACAATAGTCAAACCCAATGCCAATGCATGGACACCAGTTGAGAAAGCCGTTACAGCTTCAGTAAACGAATAAACATGCTCTCTGCATTGAATTGTAGTTCTTTCAAAATTAGATGGAATGTACATATAATCCAAGTTATAGCTTCCATCCAATCACATAACTTGATTCTACAATCTTTAATAAAACGTGCACTATGACAATCAAAATAATTGTCCTTGTCTCGTTGCTTAATACCTGTTTGGGTTGATTGTTCCATGAGAATTGTTTGACCATCATGTGGGACTGAAATTGATTAATAGCTGCATGTTTGTGTGCTTACGAATGATCTCATATTCTTGGTCTAACACATTAGTATATGTTTATAGGATCTTCAAAAGTCTATTAGACCAAGAATATGAGATCATTCGTAAGCACGCAAACATGCAGCTATTAATCAATTTCAGTCCCACATGATGGTCAAACGATTCTCATGGAACAATCAACCCAAACAGGTATTAAGCAACGAGACAAGGGGACTCAGTAGCTTAGTATAAACAACCGTGGTAATAGAATGCAAGATATTCTTCTCAAATGGAAAAAAAAAATTGATATTAGACGAAATCTCGCACCTTACGGATGAAAAGCAGATCGTTATGGGTCTCAATACAAAAGTTTGACTCCATTGCTTTTCTGTCATTTTGCAGAAAGAGCAATCAAAACCATCAAATCCAAGGTATGAAGAGAGGGAATTCCATCCTTGAGAAACATATTTTCCATTAGTTGAGTTTCCTGTATCAATCAGCCTCAGCTTCTTAAACAAGGGCCAATCTGACTTTGCATTGTCCGTCGAAGATGTTTCAGACGACACCACATCAGATTTTGAACTTGGCCATACAGCAAACTCGACATCGTGGAAATCGAACAAAACAAGTTGTCCTTTTCTCCCAATTACATCACCCACTTCTCCGTTATTAATACCCTTTTCCACAGACAATTGAATCTGAGGGCCAGCAACAAGTACACCAACGTGAATCTGTTTCTCCGGAATATGTCTATGCAAAGCCGTTCCAATTTTACGACTACAGCTCTCATATTTGTTACTACTAGAATTTTCAGGATCAGCCCCACTCGTTCTCCGAGAATTTGAAAGAAACCCTGCAGTCATTTCATCTGTAAATAACCTTTGAGCACATCGTGACTGCAAAAATAGCAGAACCATTGATAACAATGATGAATATTCTAGAATAACATCCATTTTTCCTAGTATAATACCACATTTCCAGCGCCCAGAAACTTGATTGCCCAGATCCCTGCATGCCGTGCAGCTTTTGATCTCGCAAAGAACACAAGGTTTTTCAGAATACTTCAATCCAATTTCTTCTAATCTCAAGCGACCCCGGATCCAACTAGACCACATTTCCCTCAGAAAATCTTGTAGATGCATGGCGCCTTCACTTCGATCACCGCGTTGGCTTTTGTCAAGATTGGAAAGCAGGGTAGCTTCTGCTGGCCCCACGCATAGAATAGGTTTCAAATCACCATCCATGTGCTTCTTATTTCTTTCAACAGAACTACTAGGATCCTTTGAGAGACTTATTACTGAACGACTTCTGCCGAAATTTGAGGATACAACCTTCATTTTTCCACAGGAAATCGACAAAGATTGATCCGAGAAGCCAACAATATACCTCAGTAAAAACTCATCAACCGAAAGGCATAGCGAAACAAAATTTGAGTACAAGAGTCTGTTATTCTTTTCGGATTTCTCAAAAGGGGAATTCGTTTTTTCTGGATAAAATGTGATCGAAACCCTCCCAAGATCTGCGACTGCATGAAACTCAGGAAATAGATGTTCCGAATCAACTTCGTCTTCTATATTGCTTCCTAGTTCCTGAGACGATATTCTCCTCGAAAAGAGAAAGCCAGTCATTGACAGGAATGTTCCATAAATAACTCTCCAGATATAGGCTAAAACCCAAATGACCTTGTACAAGTAAAAGAGGTGTCTGCACAGGGAAGACTCTTCACAATTACCCTCAGCCTCTTGAACGTTCATCCAAGCTCTATATCTGGCTACTCGACGTGCCTGTGCAATGGCTTCAGTAGGGAGCTCTTTCTCAATATTACAAATCGCCTCCCATTTACGACTTGCAGTTGCAGAAAGCCCTTTGTTCCCTGAAATCTTCCAAAATGATGATTTCTCTGGTTTATTCCTCGAGAATCCAACTGACAACAGCAGATACTCATAAGCATTCACATAATGCAACCACAGGATAACAGTACCAACTAGGTGCCAGAATGACAATTTGTGAGACGAGGTCATTGACCCAATTCTGATGGCAGCTACTTTCCAAAGATGACGTCCGCTTCTGATGGACTTGCTTTTGTTGGATGATAACATTGACAAGGCCAAAAGAGCTGGAAGATCAGTTGGTTGACACAACAAGCCCAACTCCGGCACACGGATAATGAGATCTACAGGTTGAAGATTGTGCAAATTAATCAGGATGGCGAGGTCACTACAAAAACAAAGGTTGTTGATATCACTATTCCTCTTATACCCAATCTTGAAACCGCACCCACTCAGATTAACAGAACTCTGGCTCAAAGGGAATAAAAGTGCACTAAGAGAACCCCTGAGTAAACTACCATGTCCAGAATCCTCAGATTCGCTCCTCAGCTCGTTTATATTCAGTACATAACCTAGGGAATCGCTTGAAGTTGGCAACCAAACTTGAACACTAATACCGACCATCCGAATACTGCAATGCCTGAGCATAAGATTCGAACAGGAAATTTTGAATTTACTTTTCTGAGAAGTAGTACCCATGATCTTCTCCAGAATCTCATGTAAGAAACAGCCCTGAGATGCGAACCAAATGATTAAAGTAAATACCGATCGTCGCACAGGGAATAATCAAAATATGATCTAGAATCATTTGAAGCACCATTTACCTTCCTCCCGTGCCAAAACTGGTTAGGAACGTGAAATAACCAAATTTACACACGTACCTCGGGATCAATAGACGAGAGAACTTCCTTAATCTCCTTTGCAACAGTGTCGTGTGATGTCCTCGTCCTTCTCGAACTACCTTCCTCCATCGCCCTGAGAAAACACAGAATCGATTCACCAAATTTTCTCACCGATAAAGAAACCCTATGTATGGTATGACTTTAAACACTCTGATTAAGATACCTGGCTGATAGTTTGACATGTACACCGCGAAATTCGATCTTAAATGCAGGAGCCGACCAAACGGACAAGTGAATTCCCACGTAGTCGACGGTGAATTCTTCGAAGTAGAGACGAGCAGAGCCATCGAGGAGCTGATTAAGTAGAGAAACGTCAAATTTGAGATTCCGCAATGTCACGGTCATACCAGTGAACCCTAATTCCAGTCGAAGATCGGGTTCTTCTCGCATCAACGGCCGCAACAGAGAAGACAGTCTCCGGCGGACGAAATTGTGAAGAAACATCATGCAGATTCGGTCAACGGACGACTGAGTGATCGGTGAGCTCCCGATTTCTCCATTGACGAGTAACAAGTTGCGGAATTTCCTCGAGAAACAAACAGAAAGTAGCAGAGCGGGAAAGCAAGCGGACAAAGAGGAAGCCAAGCGAAACCTCATGACACGTGTCAGCTCCTAACGCCATCGCATGAACGGACGGTCAGATCCCCAGCATCCGTCTCGCTCCTGCCGTTTCGTGCGCAGGCGGAGAGACTACGTGTAGTTTGCGGGAGTAAAAAACCGAGCGCAAGCCCAAGTCTTTGCACTCTAACCCCGTAAATAGTTATTTATCAGATGATCATTTGACTCGGTGTTCCCAATAAAATGATATGATAGGCTAAGAATAGAAAGTGTATGCATAAATTTGGACCAAACTATAATTATCCATAAAATCTCCTTATATGAACACAAACTGGATATACATACATACACGCAGAGACTCCAAATTCAAGGAAAACCACTGAAACATCTCCGAAATAGACGATGCCAATTTTGAATACATATCCGCCGTCTCCTCCAACCTTTGAATACCCTTTTCCCTGTTTTCAGTTTCTCCGTTTCCAACATCAACCAAAAACATTTATTTTCCCTCGACGTGGACTTCTTCTGATGCGCCATGCAGAAGGTATCCGACGGAAACATACATGCCCAGAAATCCAATCACAAGCTCAAGAAGGTAGAGTCATTTCCAGAACCAGACTACTATGACATAACCTACGTCGACATCTCTCCGACGAACAGCGCAGGCTCTCCGATGGCCAAATCCCCCTGGTCACTGCACGCCGGCCCGGGATCGGCTGCTAAGGCGGATCATGATGATTCTGACAATAACTACTCCCCGGACGTTCTAATGGGCTCTCTCGTCCGGGAAGAAGGGCATATATACTCGTTAGCCACGTCTGGGGAATTGTTGTACACAGGCTCTGACTCTAAAAACATAAGGGTTTGGAAGAATCACGTGGAGTTCTCGAGTTTTAAGTCGAACAGTGGGTTAGTGAAAGCCATTGTGATCGCCGGAAAGAAGATTTTCACGGGTCATCAGGACGGGAGGATCCGTGTCTGGAAGGTCTCGTCCAAAGATGCCAACGTTCACCGGCGCGTCGGGACAATGCCTGGGCTCAGAGAGTTAATAAAAAATACCATCTTGCTCACGTCCTACTTCGAGTTCACGCGCCGTAACCGGAGACGCACGCGCGGGGCTAAGCACCACGATGCGATATCCTGCCTCGGCCTGAGCGAAGACGGGAGGCTACTCTACTCAGCGTCGTGGGACAAGACGTTCAAGGTGTGGGGGACGTCCGATTTCAAGTGCTTGGAATCGGTCAATGCCCACGACGACGCAGTAAACGCCGTCGTTTCGGCTTTCGACGGGTTGGTGTTCACCGGCTCGGCGGACGGGACGGTTAAGGTGTGGCGGAGAGAGGACCAAGCCAAGGACACGAAACACTTCTTCTCGCAGACGTTGTTGAAACAAGACTGCGCCGTGACAGCTATCGCCGTTAACGCGGAAGCGACGTTGGTGTACTGCGGCTCTTCGGACGGAACCGTTAGCTTCTGGGAACGAGAGAATCTCCTGGAAAACGGAGGCGTTTTGAGGGGGCACAAGCTGGCGGTTCTCTGTCTGGTAGCGGCCGGGAAACTGTTGCTCAGCGGTTCGGCGGACATGGGGATAAGGGTATGGATGCGACCGGAAGGCGGGAGAGAACACGAGTGTTTGTCTGTCCTGACTGGACATTCCGGTCCGGTGAAGTGTCTTGCGGTAGAGCGAGATCAAGATTCGGCGTGCGGCGAGAGAAGGTGGATTGTGTACAGTGGGAGTTTAGATAAGTCCGTGAAGATGTGGAGAGTGTCGGAGAGATCGCCGCCGGTGATGGTTAGCCGGACGAATGATAGTTACGGCGGACCGACGGGGTTGACGGGGGCTCCAAGCCTCACGACCCATGGTAGAATTAGCCAGAAAAAGTAGTCGGATGTATATCCACTCATTTGACCAGCATGAATGAACATAATTACTGACAGAGAACCTGAGTTTTCAAAACGATGGTTTGGAAAAAAAATTGCATAATAATCAATATAGTGCTAATATTCAATGATTGGTGTGTGTATATATATTTTTGAAATTTTAATTTTATTAATACGACCACACAAATTTCAACCAATAAAAACCCAAATCATTATCTATTTTATTGTTTCCTATTCCTTTAGTATTTTATATGGCTTAGCTAATAACCAATATACAACTCTGAGGGATGTATCTTAGGCTTAGATTTCCACTAATTCGGAAGCAAAATTTGCAGAAAAAGGGAAATGTTTGAACCTTCTAGGTGGAAGAGATGCTTTCTCTAATCGAACCTTCTGTTAGATTCAGTGGATTCCTCTCGGACTCATAACAGCCGGAGACGCTAAGCCCTAAACCCCTTCACCGGGAAAATGCTCCGCTATGTTACCCGCAGCGTCCGCCACCGTGTCCGGCATCAATGCCGCCATTTCAGGCCCCCGAAGCCCCCTACTCGTCCGGCGCCACCATCGCCGCCGAAGCCCCCGAAGAAGCCTCAGAGCTTCACTTTCCACGACGAGACTTGGGAGGATCCGTACAGCTGGATGTCTCAGCTGAGTGACAAGGTGGCGATGAGGCACATGGACATATACATGGAGCAAGAGGATAAGTACACCGAGGCAGTACTTTCCGACACGGTTCGGCTTCAGACCAAGCTCCAGTCGGAGATGGCTTCTCGCTTGGCCTTCGAGCTCTCCACACCTCCAGTTCGCTGGGGACCATGGTGGGTCTATGCAAAAAATCTTTTTTTTTTCTAGAATTTGTTGCATTTTGGTAGCATCTTATGGAGTTATCTGATGGTATCATCTTATGGAGTTCATCTGAGTTTATTCAAGTCATAACAATGAAGGGCAGTAGAAAGCTTGGACCTTTTTCGAATTTGGTCATGAATACGTCCGTGTCTTCGTTGTTTTGACAACTCATCGATTTCTTAAGGGTTTTTATGTGCTCGAGCTGGTGGGCGTAGGTTGTATTATAGACGGGTTGAAGAAGGGAAGCAGTATCCCGTGATGTGTAGGAGGCTGGTGAGCTTGCACGAGGAGCTCATTTCCAACAAATCTCCTGCTTCTGGATTTGACTTTGCATCTGGGAAGAAGATTGAGCAAAAGCTGCTTGACTACAATCAGGAAGCCGAAAGATTTGGAGGTAATTTTACATCTCCCTTTCAGAACTTTTGTTTTCTGGACTTTGTTGCTTAGTTGAGTTGAAGGGATCAAGAGGAATCAGTATTTTTCATTTTTGATGTGTTTGTATAGGTTATGCTTATGAAGAATCGTCTGAGATATCCCCAGATCATAAATTTCTTGCATATACCATGTATGATAAGGACAATGATTACTTCAAGCTCTGTGTGAGAAACTTGAATTCTGGAGCGTTATGTAGCAAACCTCATGCGGATCATGTCTCAAACATAGCCTGGGCCAAGAACGGGCAAGTTTTATTCTATGTCGTGACTGATCGAAATAAGAGGCCATTCAGGTTAATTTGCTTTTTCCTCTAATCTATAGTCTGTGCTGATTGTCAGTCGAACTACTACCTGCATATCTGAAGCATTTTCTGTATTGTTATTAGGATATATTGTAGCACAATTGGGTCAACAGATGAGGATGTTTTGCTTCATGAAGAACTGGAAGATAATGTTCATGTTAACATAAGACATACAAAAGATTTCCACTTTGTGACTGTAAATACATTCTCTCCATCATCTTCAAAGGTAGAGCTCGAAACCGCCTTTAACATCAAGATCTGAATAAAGCTCTAGTTTATCTGCCTTGAGTGATTTGTAAGCATGACAAATACTATGTCTTAGGTCTTTCTCATAAATGCAGCTGACCCATTTTCTGGCTTGGCATTGGCCTGGGAATACAACGGTCTAGCTCATTGCATAATTGAGCATCATCAGGGATTCCTCTATTTATTTACAGATGCTGGCAAGGATGGCCAGACACTCGACCATCATCATCTTCTGCGAAGTCCAGTTGACTTCTCTTTCAGTCCTAGAATATGGGAGGTTGGTCTGCCGATATAACTTATGTTTTTCCTTGTTGGTTGATATTTTGTTTCATGGCTGATTATCTTCATTTGCAGAAGGTTTTTACCGATGACCCAGAATTGGTTATAGAGGATGTTGATTTCTGCAAAACACATCTAGCCCTTATTGTGAGACAAGGCAGGAGCTTCAGACTTTGTGTCGTTGGTCTACCTTTGCCATCGGAGCAGGTAAGCTTACACCAATCAAAATTTTGCTACCTACAACAATCTGAATGACGGGATGAATATGATATGAACATGATCAAGTTATGCTCTTTGGTTTGGTTTGACCGCATCGTTTTCTATTTACAGGCACCAGTTTATCTGAGAGAACTTCAGCCTCATTATCTCCCTCTTCCAAAGCATGTTTCTCAAATTTCACCTGGTCCAAATTATGACTTCAATTCCTCAACAATGCGGTTCATGATATCGTCACCTGTGGTATGGATTACAAAGGCGTTTCGTCACTCCTTTTTCTGCATTTTAGCTTTTCATTGGCTAGCGTGTCGAGTTTAAACTCTTTGTTGTAAAAAAGTTTATGATTATTATATGGTATTTGTAGTAGTATGATTTCACCAATCTTCTTTAGAACTGATGGTATATGCTTGCAGCTATTTGTAAGGGTGTTTATTTTATATTTGCAGATGCCAGATGCTGTGGTTGATTACGATATAGCAAACGGGAAATGGAACATTGTACAGCAGCAGAACATGCTTCATGAGAGAACACGAATCTTGTATGGATCAGCAACCTCGGGTGACAAAGTTAGCAAGTCATCAGTCACTAGAAATCTGAGTTCTGATACTGACACAAATGCCGAGAATGACAACTTGTGGAATGACCTGACCGAGTTTTATGCCTGTGATTATCACGAAGTTTCTTCTCATGATGGAGCCATGGTTCCATTAACTGTTGTTTACTCGAGAGTTCATAAGGAGAAGAACCAAAAACCGGGTCTGCTTCATGTTCATGGAGCTTACGGTGAAATTCTCGACAAAAGATGGCGTAGTGAACTGAAAAGCCTTCTCGATCGAGGTTGGGTTCTTGCATATGCAGACGTTAGGTCGGTCCCTTATCTTCTCTATCAAATATTATAACCTCCTCTTCCTCCATGTGTTAGTTTTTGCTTGCCCTTTATATGTCAAAACGTATTCGGATTTTTGGGGTTGTTTCCAGAGGTGGAGGCGGCAAGGGCAAGAAGTGGCATCAAGATGGAAGAGCCTCAACGAAACTGAACTCCATTAAAGATTACATTTACTGTGCCAAGTTCCTTGTTGAGAATAACTTAGTAGAAGAAAACAAGCTTTGTGGATGGGGATACAGTGCTGGAGGGCTTGTTGTTGCTTCAGCCATGAATCATTGCCATGATCTGTTTCGAGCTGCTGTTCTAAAGGTAACCAATCTATGCATTAACAAGCCCCTGATCAGGAATAAAAAATAGGGTTTTGATTTTTTTTTCAGGTACCCTTTCTTGATCCAACTCACACTCTCCTTCGTCCGATATTACCCCTGACTGCTTCCGATTATGAAGAGTTTGGATATCCGGGAGATATCAATGATTTCCATGCCATACGCAAATACTCACCTTATGACAACATTCCCAAGGATGTTCTTTATCCAGCAGTGTTGGTCACATCATCATTCAACACTAGGTAAAGTTTCCAATCTTCTTCTTCCGAGTGATCATGGATCAATCTTCCGAGGGACACCTATTGATGATTTTCTTTCGAGATTTTCTCACTGTCAGATTTGGAGTGTGGGAAGCTGCAAAATGGGCAGCACGGGTCCGTGACAGTACCATCTACGACCCTCAACGTCCAGTTCTACTCAACCTTACGGTTGATATTGTGGAAGAAAACCGGTATTTGCAGACCAAGGAATCTGCTTTAGAGACCGCATTTCTCGTAAAGATGATGGAATCTTGAATGAAACCAGGGTGGGGGCAAGCAACCATGGGAGCTCTGATATAAGATATAGCCATTGATGAACAACAGTGCAGTGTACATCTGAAGAAACCTACGAAACATCTCTGGTTCCAAATTACAGTTCTGCTTCAGATACAAAAACCCCTCCGAAAAAATGGGAGAAAAAAAAAGATGTTCTTTAGGCAAACTCTATAATGATTTAGAAAAAGATAAGGGAACCCGGAAAATATCAATTAATGAATGAGGCTTTTTTTCCAGATTTCTTCAAGACAAGAGTCTCGGTTTTTTCTTCTATGTTTCTGAATCTTCTTCTTCAACAGCTGCGAGTGTACCTTCTTTAACAAAACCTGGGTTTAGGAACTTGGCCACAAATCCCCATAGCTTATAAACGTCTTCAAAGTTTGTCAAGAACCCTAGAGAAGCAGTGACAACCTCTACTCTTACAAACCCATTTTCCGTTCTTGAATCTTCTCTCCGGCTATCCATTCTCCTTATGTGACTGAGGTAACCTATCCCTAGCGAAATTCCTTCTCTTTCAGCTAGTTTCTGCACCATCTCTGGATGAACCATCGTCATCCCTCCTTTCACGTCTCTCACGTTGAATGCCACCGATGACCCACGTTCGTATTTTATCTTCGGACCGTAAATCTGGACAAGATTTATTTGCCCTCCATCCGAATTTGAACTGGGCAGCCTTAGTTGGAGCAGAGAGGTCACCAGCCAGTTTATGAGAAACCTGAGTCGTGTGGTGGTTTTGTTGAGTCCCATCATGTTGACATGGTCAAGGTGCCAACATATTATCTCGGGTTCCCTCCTCTCGCCCCATTCTTGTCCGTCCCCGTAATCTGCACTGCTTCCATATTCATCCTCATCGAGATTAATGGCGGATGGTTCTCCAGGTTCGAAGCTATGGTTGTTGTGATCTTCTGATGTAAAAGATACTCTTCTTTTGCTAGGATGTTCATCTTCTTCATGCACAAGAAGCCTCCTACTGCTGTACCTACTCTTTCCTCTTCCTCCTAATAACCTGAATTCACCCTCGGTTTCTCTTCTTATTGCACTTTCTTTGATTCCAGAGGTTGAGCCATTTTCCAGTGCATGAGGAGGAATCAGCTCGTTGGTTACTTCTTCTTCGATCTCATGAACCTGCAAACCACTCCTCTCTGGTTTTTCTTCTTCAACAGCAATACCCACTTCTTGTGAAACTGACAAGACAGCAGCATCGAACGAGAGAACATGGTTGTCACCGTTTTGCTCTGTACTTGAATCTTTGCTATTACTAACAGGTTGCGTTCCTGGTTTAGGTGACACCCTTTTCTGGTTTTTCTTGTTACTAAAAGGGAGGAGTAGAACAGGTGAGGAGCTCTTTTGCTTGTTGAGCCGACCAGCATTATCCGAACCACCTGGACTCTGACCCAAATCAATCCAAAACGAGTTGTCCGATGACTCGTCTTCGCTGAAAACCGGGCTTTTAATCACTTCGCCGACTGAGAAACTCTCGGTTTCCTCAAATATAGTGCTGGTTCCATCTCTGTCAGAACCAATGTCCTGATCCATTTCTGTCTCGAAAACGTCCTGCACTTGGGCAGAAGTGAATGCACCAGAAAATGCCGGCAATTGAAAACCCTGTCGATTCCCCAAGGCCTTAGCGATGCTGTTAATGGCAAGATCCTGATCTTCGCTCTCGGCCAACCCTTCCAAACCATCCAGGGAATCGCTGAGATACAAAGGATACTCAGGAGTAATCTTCACGATACCTGAACTAGTTTTCCCAGACTGACTCTGCAGGCAGCTCATCACAGATTTCTTGATCAAGAGACAACCAAACCCAGTCGGATCATAACCAAACACACGATAAAACGAAGTGATGATAAAATCCGGACGGAACAGAGATAACCCGAGCGAGTCCATGTCTTTAGGACCCAAAGCTCCGGCATCAAGTAAGACATGCCAGTTGTTCTGCTGAGCCAGTGCCATCCACTGGTACGAGTACTTGGAACCCGTAACCCTGGACTGGACAGGAAACATGAACAAACCCGTCGCAGAATCCTTCTTCCTCTTCTTCTTACTCAAGATTTGCTTCTTCAGATCCATGGAACAGAGCCTAAGAGTCGGCCACTTGAACCAAGCACTAGAAACCTTGGCACCTTTCTCCCTCGCACTCTGAGCCATCCAGCTCACCGATTGGCTCTCGTGATCAAACATTGTCAGAAGCTTCTTATTCGTGTGGAATGGGTATGATTCCGCAAGCAACTTGAAAGCAGAACCTCTACTGACTGTAAACACGAGACCGTACTCACTCTCTGGGATGTTCAAGTAATCCATTATCCTTGTCTTAATATCATGTTCCAATGTTCCAGTCTCAGCTCCACCGTAGAGGGCATGATTGCTGAGATTCGCGGTTATCTCCGACAAACTAAACGTGCAAGAATCCCAGTGATGAACTGTCTGAACATACGAGAACAGCCCAAACCCGCAATAGTCGAGACATACCTTCGGCGGTGACAAGTGGAAATACTCGTCGTCTCGCAACTGGTCGATCTTCTCCGAGGATCGATACTTTGGGTACATCGTTAGAAACGTGTTGAAGGCCTCTTCGAGTTCAGGTAATGATTCCTCCGATTCGAAGGTTCTCTGAGCCGCGAGGGCTGTGGCTCGCAAGAACTCGCGCTGAGCGTTGAGCCGGGCGAGTGATCTGGACCGTTCAAGGCTCTGATCTTGAGACTCGTCTTCGATGTCTTGGGATTTGACGAGCAACCCATCTTCCGATGCTTCTTCGAGAGCCTCCCTGAGCCTAGATTCGTGGAGCTTTCGCTGAGTCACGGCCGTTGACTCGGACACATCTCGTTTCCTGCCGCTCGTCTTGTCCAGAACCAGAGCAGCACAGTGGTATATGGGCTTCCAAAGCGAGAGATGCATGAATTCTCACCGTACGGATCAAAAGACAAAATATGGCTCTGCAATCAACGGAATAGGAAGAAAAGCTGAGGACTTTAGCCCATTTGGCAAAGCCCCTGACCCGAATCTGCTACTTTTCTGGAACCCTAATCCAGGATTTCGATTAATTGAGGCAAAAATTGCTTCCAATTTCGAATTCCCAGATCATGAGGAAATAGAATTCAGGAGACTCGAGCGAAATGCTTGCCCAAAGTGGATTCAATTTCAAACCCAAAAAAAGGAAAGAATCTGTTGTCACATATCAGGTAAAGAACCTAACTTGTGTAGATGGAACCCAGTGACGATGGAAAATTTCCAGAATTCGGTAAAGAATCAGAAAGTCAAAACCATGGTTCCAACTCGAAACACAGAGAGCGAAAGAGACGAACAAGGCAGATGCGGAAACAGAACTCTCAGACAGAAATCCAGAACCAAAATGCAGAATTGGGAGCTTCCAACGGAAACTTTGAGATTAAACCTAGTTTCCTCAGAATCTGACGGTGTGTTTAGCGTTTGAAACTCACGAATGAACTTTCTTATATTATTCGCCCCCCCCCCGCCGTTTTCTCTCTCCCCCTCCCCGATGAAAGAGAAAATTAAAAGTAAAACTAAGAGAAATCAAAAGCGAAGCTAAACCCTTTCGACATCAAATCCTCACTTGCCTGTTGCCAACACAACAAACCACTAAAATCCAATAAACAACACCCAATTACAGGAAAATTTGAAAGTGTCATTGACTTTCCACATATTGAGGCCTTATTTTTGCTGTTCTAATATCCTTTTATATTTTATTTTTCCTTTAATCAATCAATTCACGTAACATTGTAGCGTTTGAAATTAAAAATTGGATTTTTGCTGGTTGGCGAGCATGGGACCCGCGAAAGCTTCTTCCTTTCCCCCTTTTCTCGTGTGTTTTTTTTTTTCCATTTGTCTGAAGTTTGTAGCTGAAGAGTCAAAAAAGACTGGAAGGGTTGTCTCTCTAATACAACTACCTAAAGGTCCCTTCTTTCTTTTTCTTTTGGTCATATACTTCAATACGAGGCAGAACGCACCAAACCAGCCAGTAGTAATAAATATCCAATTTTACTATCCAGCCCGCTCATTTATGACCAAAAAAAAACCAGAAAGAAAATTGACTGAAATTTAAAAAAATTTACAGTAGGAGATGTGTGAGACAGGTGGGTTGTTTATTATCTATAAGACTATAACCATAACATGTGGATGCGCAGCTAAAATAATTTACATTTTGATTTGTCAGGTAAATAAATCATAGTAAATCTCACGCTCTTTTTTTTAAATTATCAGAGGAGCATATTTGTTCATCATACTTCAAAGGTTACAGTTATTATATTTGGCGTATATTTTTTGAGAATTAACATGCAAGAAAAAACATACAGTAAAATGTTTGATTGACACTAGTTGGTGTAGTTATCGTTATTAATGCAACGTTAATATAAAAGAAATCAGCGTTTTCAAAGAAAACATGTGAATGGTATGCTTAGACGTTGAGTATTTAATTACATCAGAAGAAAGCCAAGCGAGCCAGCGTCAGCAGCTCATGCTTTGATTAGTCAACCTCCAAATGAAATTACGCAATTACCCTTGGTCAAACCGTGCTCCGTCCTCCCATAAAGTGGCTTTTTCACATGGTTTCAAAAGTCAAATGAATTTCGTTTCTTTTTTTGTAATAATCATATCATGGTTCCTACATCCACTTCGAGATCGTCTTTATATAATCATTATTTTTTATCCAAAAATTACGTCCCTTCTCTTGAATTTATCTCTCAATGGACCATAGATAAATTTCCTTACTCTTTCTTTATAAAAAAAACATACTCAATTTTCATATTACACTAAAATTCACTTTCATACAAAATACCAAGATAGGTTAAATAACATAAACCATATGTTCCCATAATAATGGTGATGATGTATAGCGATGTAGCACTCCTATACATCGAAGTGATATCTTTTGGCATGATTGTTGTGTCTCTTTATTCAACCTTTAATTATTGGTTTGCTTTAATTTATTTTAATTATTGTCGCTCTCTTCTTCCTTTTTTTATTTCTTCGCAACCAATTTCTCCTCCTTTTACATGGGACATATATACATGGGATTATGGTTTTAGGTGCCCATGCAATAATAAAGTTATTTTGGCTTTGGACATTATTTCATGATGGCATGTTTGGTGCGTTATGCATCATAACAACGACAACAAAAATGAAACAAAAGAAAAAGCCACATCCTTTTGGCGCTTTTAATAAAGGAGAAACACTACAATACACACACGTAAACTCACCATACTATCTTTATTTGAACTCGTTCGCTCCTACACTTGTTTATTCTTGCATATTCAATTTTCTAATTTCTTTTTCGCGCGCACACACACATATATACATCCAAATATATATAATATAGTTTAGTCTTGATTCTATTCATAGATATCACCAAGTGATTCCAGTGTTGGACAAACGGTCCAACTGGGTCATTTTTTTAATTGGGCCCTTTACTGATAAAACCATCCGAAGTTCGTTGGGCCCAAAATAACGGGCCTTTAGATAAGCCCATATGATCTGCATTTCCTCCTTTTTTCGTATTTTTAAAATCCCAATTTAAAAAATGTTAAATGTGTAGACTATAAGATACATATACATATATATATATATATATATATATATATATATATATATATATTAGAAACGGATGATTTTGTACAAATTTCCGCACCACAACACCACAGATAGGTGTCCTAACTCTCCTTTCTTTTTCAAACGATCAGACACAAAAAAAAAAAACTACAACAAAGACTTCAAGTAGGACATTGACGAACCAAACAAGCAAAAGAGCTTCCGGTTTGTTAAACTACCACTCCCAACATCCATCCACATATGGGAAACCCTTTCTTATATATCTCTTTCCAACGGGAACACAAACCTTGGAAAAAAACAAAGAATATGGCTATGACCAAAACGTTATTCGTATTGTTCTTATCGATCATATTCTTCTCCTCGAGGCTTAGATTTTCGTTGGCTGCGGACAAGAACTCGTTGGCTGCGTCTTTTGTCTTCGGGGACTCTCTGGTGGATGCAGGGAACAACAATTACTTGCAGACACTTTCAAGGGCCAATTTGCCTCCAAACGGTATCGATTTCAAGGCCTCCGGCGGAAATCCCACCGGCCGCTTCACCAACGGCCGTACCATTGCCGATATCGTAGGTACAATTTCGATAGTTCTATGTCCAAAATAACAATAATAATTAAATGCATGTATATTGAGAAGTTTTATAAAATAAAATAAAATAATCGTGTGTTATATTTGATCAAGGGGAGGAACTAGGGCAGCCAAATTATGCTGTTCCATATTTGGCCCCAAATGCAAGTGGTGAAGCTATTTTAAATGGTGTGAATTATGCTTCTGGGGCTGGTGGAATATTGAACGCCACCGGGAGTGTCTTTGTAAGTCACTTGTTCTCTTTATCAGTGTTTCTCTCCTCTTTCGATTTGGTCGGTGGAAAAAGTTTCGTCTTAATTTTATTTTTTAAAATATAATAAAAACTAAATATTTATCCGAATTTCTCGTTTTATTTAGATTCAAACATATATAATAGAAACTACATCTTTTGATTTATTTTTATAAAATCGTTTTTTAAAAGACGATATCAGTTAATATAAAATTACATTATAAAACCTAAAAGAGTTTCAGAATAATTCCAAGGCATGGTCAATTATTGTTTCATGAAAAATAGCAGCAACATAACTTGTTTTTTGAAGCAAAACAATGTGAAATTGAATCTATTTTGAACTTATAATATAACCTTATTTAAAAATATTTTATTTTAACTTGGGACGGTGGACATAGGTGAACAGGGTGGGGATGGATATACAGGTGGACTACTTTGGAATAACGAGAAAGCAATTGGACCGACTGTTGGGCCCAGAAAAGGCCACAGATTACGTAAGGAAGAGATCCATTTTCTCCATAGTCATTGGAGCCAACGACTTCCTAAACAATTACCTCGTCCCCTTTGTCGCCGCTCAAGCCCGTTTGACCCAACCCCCCGACGCCTTCGTCGACTCCATGATCTCTCACCTCCGCGACCAGCTCACGGTTGGAAATTACAAAAATACCCTTTTGATTTACTATACATTTTGATCTGCAAAAACAAACTTCCTTTTTAAAAAAAAAAATTATTGCTGTTATTAGAGATTGTACAATTTGGATGCTCGGAAATTCGTGGTGGGAAACGTGGGTCCGATCGGTTGTATACCGTACCAAAAGGTGATAAGCCAATTGAAGGAGAACGAGTGCGTGGATTTGGCTAATAAGCTCGCTCTCCGGTACAATTCTCGGCTCAAGGATCTCTTGCTAGTTGAGATGAAAAACAAATTTAACGACGCCAACTTCGTATACGCCAACGTATACGATCTCGTCATGGAACTCATCGTCAACTACAAAGACTACGGCAAGCATTTTCTTTCTTTTCTTTTTTCACACCCCCAACTAATTATTTATGATATAAAATGATAATAAGATATGAAATCAGTAATTACACAAATTCATGGTATGAGATTTGTAAAGGGAAAATATGAGATTATTTTGTTTCCATACAATCTATGTTCAACGTCGCTGCATGGAATTTAATAACCTTTTTTACCATGCATGATAGTTTTGGTCCACGTACGTGCATGGATAATATATGTAATCATCGTATTATTGTATATCTACGATCATTGTACAGGGTTTGAGACGGCGAGTGAGGCGTGCTGTGCGAACGGAGGAGGGAGGATCGTGGGGATATTACCGTGTGGGCCCACGTCGAATCTGTGCGTTGACCGGTCAAAGCACGTATTTTGGGACGCATACCATCCCAGCGAGGCAGCTAACCTCTTCATCGCCAAACAACTCCTCCACGGCGATTCCACTTACATTTCCCCTTTCAATCTCTTCCGCCTTCGCGATCTCTGATTCGTTCTTTCCTTTCTCTCTTTTTAAATCTTGCTTATGCCCTGTTTGTTTCTGTGTTCAATTGTCCTTTTTTTTTTCTTTGTATTGATTGAGCAAAGTTTATTCGATTTCTTATGGTTTAATATGATATAATGACCATAACATTGAAATTTTTTAATGCTATGGTTAGAGATTTCAGCGGTGTAGTGCAATAGGGTTCGATTACTTGATTCCACGTGTGATTGATGAGTTTGCTGATATATAGGCAAAGCCATAATAGTATTGAAACGCGTGAAATTTGCAATATGATTTGCCGATTCGAATGGATGATTTAATAACATACGACCGTGAGAGAGCTGAAAACGCGATTTGAGGAGGGACCCGAAACGCGAAACGCAGAGCAATGGACAGGCGGCGAGACAGAGGGACTTGAAATGACCGAAGTACCCCCTGTAAACGCGGAGCAAAGGACAAACGCGAGACAGAGGGGGAAATGACAAAAGTACCCTAAGGAAGAGAGAGAGAGAGAGAGAGAGAATAAAAGAGTAAGAAGAAAGAGGTGTTTGAGAGATTTCTGAAGCTGAAACCGCAGAGTCTGATACGACTCGTCCGGATCGAATAAGTGACAGTGAAAGGACGGCTGCAACACACACACATTTCTCTCATCGTATATATATATATATATATTGACACACATATATATACACATCTATATATAGAGAGAGAGAGGTTGCAGTGTTGCCGTTGGTGTGAAAGGGACGAGAGAGAGAGAGAAGACGGCCGCGCGTGCCTCTGCCTCCATTCTATCTGTCCCTTTTCCGACCCGACAACCTCTCCATCCCCCTTCACTCTCTCTCTGTTTCTTTGACCGAAAAAAAGCCCCAAACTAAGACCGTCCTTTTGTCTTCGTAATATTCCTTGTGTACGTAACCCCTTATCTGCTTTGCCATTTACGCCTTGCCCTATTCATCAATCATCCGCTTTCATATATAATTATCTGATCCCCCTACCACTTTCCGTGATAATTATGTATCCGTATTTATAATATATGTTACGAGGCAAACTTGATAGATAGTCCTACCGGTTAAATGAGAAGATCCCATACGTTAGGGAATTTAAACTTAAAAAAAAAACAGCACATGAGTAGAATAAACGGGATTGTTGTTCGTAAGCGGTGGGGTGGGGG